TCATTATTTTTATTCCATACAAGAAGTTTATCTCTACCCATATATTTACACGGTTTTGTGTTTTTTTTAATCGCTTATATTATATCTTTTTAGTTGTATACAGGCTGCCACAGACACAGCATGATTCATGAACAAACGCAGAGTAACTTTCTCTTGTTTAATAGTAAAATAAGAGCTAACGCTGATGCAGATGTGCATCTTTCTTCTCTTATAACTTGACTATTACTACTAGCGCAGATTTAAGATTTCTCATGGTAAAAGACATGATATTTGTAGTCAGTTTAACACAAATTTTGGAGAGATCTGTCGTGCCTTTTTAAAATTAAAAATCATTTTTTCATAAGTTTGTAACTAAAATAGGACAAATTGGGTACTCTACAAACACTTGTCTAGAGCGAAAACTAAGGCACAGAAACTAACCATTCTAACGCAAAATAAATCTCAAGACATTGAGCTTTTAGTACATCCGTGTAATGGTTTGCTATGTGGGATGGGGAAGAAGTTATATCGTTTTAAACATAGTCAAAAATGCGAACTTCCTGACCGACATCTTTCATTACTCAAGGAAATCAAAATTTTTTTCTCACCGAGGGGCAAAAGGAGTTACCCTAATATGGCTATAATCCAGTCAAATATTGATAGATTTGTTTGTGTGAGCACTCAAACTATTTGTAACTGGACAAAGGATTATAATATGAGTGAAAATAGGTATGCACACATAGCACTCTGTCAGATGTAGATCTTAGGGCTGACTAAATCAGTACCCCCATAACACCTCTTAAGTGGCGAGCCGCTGAAACACGGAGCCAAAAACGCTACTGAAGTGAGGAACCGGATTCAAAGAGTTAAGAAAGGTTAACAAGCATTGGTCTAGACCTAGTTTATTGATCTCATGACAAGACTACAGCGGTTTTTGCTCTGGAATGAACAGTGATAGTCTTTGAGTCTGTGGATGAAGGGTCAGGGGTAGATACAAAATACCAGCATCCATGGTGTAGGAGTAAGGTGCTTTACTGTTGCACTCGGAGACCTGAGTTCTATTCTCAAGCAGGGAGAATTTTCAATGAGCATATTGGTCTTTCTGCTGGGATGTTGTGTCCCTCTCAGCATGGGTTGGCCCAGACATTTAGAGTGAAGCCCTCCTCCTAAATGATCTAAATTGTGCTGATATGGGAGTAAAAACACAAACATTAAAAACTTTTATACTGGAGGAAGAGCAGCTTGTTGCTACATGCACCTGTGGTGTAATAGTCAGGCTCTTCTCCTTTGCAGTCAAAACATGTGAGCTTAATTCCCAGTTAGGAGAACATTTGATCAAGTATCTCTGTATTTATCACGGAATACAATATCCCACTCAGCCCACGCCAGCCTGGCTAAGCAGGGAAAAGGCTTCCCACCTCCTAAATGGTCTAAATTGTGTCTATGAGGATTTAAAATACAATGAAACCGAATTATACGAATTTCAAGTGAACAGAAAATTTCTTTGCTCTGCAAGCTTTCTGTGAAGAGAAGTTGCAATGAATAGAATAGAGGAATGTAAACCCCGAAATTTAAAATCCTTTAGGGAGAATAGTTTTTTTGTTATGCAGCTGAGTGTTAAAGTCTACTTATACTATATGCGCAGTGAGACAGTGGTGATCAAATAAAAAGTAATATATTATCAATGCCCTTCATCAAATTGCTAATTGTGGTTCAGTTTTTCTATAGATATTGTAAATAGCTTTTGTGATCTTGTAATTGAGCTGCTGTCTACAAAACATCAGCTTAAATATGGGCAGATTATTTTCCTTAATGACTAGACAATAAGTGGTGTCTATTGCTGGTGAGCTGTCAGCACCGTTCTCCCAATGCACCAGCTGTTCTGGCAATTGGCATCACTCGGGTGTTTACAGTCATGAAATAATCTATGAACCCAGCTGGTCTGTGTTATCAAGAATTAAACTTCATGTTTATTGCTTAGAGTAGAGCAAATTATTTCTACTCAACCTAGTGTTATTGTATGATAATGAGCTAAATTAGGGGGTATTTGTGGTGGATTAGTCAGCTGAAAACTGGATGACAAAATTGACCGCATACAATTAATGTGGAATAACTTTCAGCTGACTTTGACTTTGTTATAGTGTCATGAATTTCCTTAGCTTAGTTTCCCCGAAGAAATAACGAGTCTTGAAAAGGATGGAAATAATAAATAGTTTTTAATATCTGGTGGCATGAGATTTGTTTAATCATCATTTTGCACACACTGCTTTTCTATTTCTATTCGGCCTTGGTATTTTATTATTTCAACCGTTAAGACTTCCTTCTAAAGCTGCTGCAATTGAAGTTTGAGTTATAACTGACTCCTTTCGAAACAAGGTTGATTTCAGAATTTTGTTATTTCAATGATATAGCTTATACCTTACTTACTCACCGTAGGAGATGTAAACGTGCCTTCTCAAAGGCTGTGTGGCATTGGTAGTCTAGTGGTTAGGATTCTCAACTTGTAATCATGAGATTGCATGTTTGGGGGGTTTGAGGCTCAGCTTAGTCCAATGTTGTCTCCTTGGGAAAGGAACTGTACACAAATTTTTCCTTTTGGTTCGGTCCTATTGTAGGTGGACATTAAGTTCAGAGGTCCCACCTCTTCGTAAACAACCTTACAGTATTGCAAGGGTTGTTAAGCTTGTAAAATTTCAAACTTTTTTTTCAAAGGCTTTGATTTTCACAGGTATGATAAGATACGAGCACAAGAGGACTGTTTCATTTAAGCAAATATTTTCTTTTTGAAACAGGTGAATAGCTTGATGCTGAAGACGTACTCTCAAAAATGCCAAGACTTCAAGTATGATAAAATGATTGATGAGATGAGACAGACACAATGGAATAGCAGCGCTGCCGAGGGAGGTGAGAGGTCACTGAGTGCAGTTTGTCGACACACCTTGAATGAAACAAAAACAAAGAATTAGATAAACGGATGTATATTGGTTTGGTGTTTAGCCAGCACAAGCAGGAGACAGAGTTCAGTTCCCATGTGGGGATCATTTTTTTTCAAGTATCTGTCTTTGCACTGCTATATTGTATCCTTCTCAACTGGTGTTGCCCTGACAGGCTGGGTGGAAGCTTGCCACCTAAATGACCTGCACTGTGTCCCTGGGATCATAAAAATACCCACTTTGAAAGAAAGGAAACAATTTAAGAAAGGAGGATATATAAAAATATAGTCAAGGACAGATATATATTGGGAACTGTTTTGACTTCAAGTTTATCAGGAATCATTGTGAATTCAAATCTGTTATAATTTATTTATTTTCCTGTCTGATTTTAAGAAAATGTCTTGAAAATTTTAATGTTTTTCTTTCATTTTGCTGTTAGTTAGGTGTGAGGAATTTTTTCTTTTTGTCCTTTGTCTCTTCTTGTTGTTGCCAGCTCTTTCCCATACCTGCTCCTATCTCTTCCTCCACCTTTTTCTCTTCTGCTGAACAAGATCCATTAATAGTTGTGCTATACAAATTCTACACAATAACTTACCACAACCTTTGTCTCTGCAGGTCGTCAGTGGACCTATCAGACGTGCACCGAGTTTGCCTTCTACCAGTCCTCTGACTCAAAGAAGCAGCCATTTGGACACGGATTTGGGATTCAGTATGTCACAGAGTGTGCTCCTGTCCCCCCTTTCCTGGTTCCATCTGTTTTGACATTCTGTTTATCTATACAAAATCTCAAAATATTGTATTTAATGCCTCAGCACAAGACATTTACATTGGACTTTTTGAGCGAACACTCGTCTTGAGCATGAAAATACAGATTCATTCACTGAATGACTATCTCATTGAAAATTTCAATACATAAACACACATGGCACAAAAGAAACACAGTAATGAAAGCAGAATATCGACTTTAAAAAAACGAGAAATGTAATCGTGAGGGGCAGAGGGAGGGTCAAGAGAAAAGCCATAAATGACACAATTAAGAGCACTGCTTGCAAACCTAGGGTGGTAGTGCCCACTAGTGGGCAATTTGGTCATTCTGATGGGTGGTGGGGATCACCTGGGTAATCACAGTTCATGCCTCACTTGGAAATACATTTCGGCGGAAACAGTTCAGAGATGTCTTGCTTTGCCTTGTCTTGTCTTGCCTTACCTTACCTTACCTTACCTTACCTTACCTTGCCTTACCTTACCTTACCTTACCTTACCTTACCTTACCTTACCTTACCTTACCTTACCTTATGTCCTCACTCAGGTTCTGGCTTGACCAGTGTTCTGATATCTTCGGTCCAGAGGTCAACGTCACACTTATCCAGCAGCGTGTAGAGAGAAGCAATGAAGACTATGGGGCGCTGGGCATCAGAATCTCTCGTGTCGTTTTCCCCAACGGCTCGATTGACCCCTGGCATGCTCTTGGAGTCTTGAAGGACCTCGGACCCGATGCAAAGGCTATCTTTATCAACGGTGAGGATTTGTGTATGCGATTAGAAAAGTGCATTTGTGAAGCATTGTGGTGAAATCAGGCGCTCGTTAAAATAATGAAATTGAAGAAACCCGCATCTTTCCGCTAGATTAGCAATTTTCAATGAAATTTTGTATTTTTCCGCTGGATTGGCAATTTAATTTTCATTGAATTTTATGTTTTTTGGTTCAAAAACCTTTTTATATCCATTTAGAACCAAATTGGCGGCCATTTTCTCGCTAGTTTTGCCCTCTGAAATCAAACAACCTCCATCTCCTTCAATTGCAAATGTCTCAACTTCTATTCAAGATAGATGGATATATTTTTTCATGAAAAGCAAGGCAAATAAACAAGCTAAATTATGATGATGCTAATAACTCCACATGCCCAAAAATTGACAAGTGCCTTATTCCACCACACCATGCTACATTTCTGCTTGGAATTACCTTACTTGATTACTGTTTTTTTAAATTTTCCAGCTATGTCAAATTGCTTTTGAGATATTGGCACTTTTGAAATGAGGATTAAGAAATCACACAGTGCGAGTTGTGAAAAGAATTGCACTTGTGCTCATTTTTGGGGGGAGTAGCACACATTTTGTTTGATTTCTTTATCACCATATTACCCTGTTGTACATTCAGCAAAATGTGTATGATTTATCTTTTATCACACTCACGCTTTTGTCATTTCTTTCCTTGGCTTCCTCTGTGTGGTTGGTGAGTGGTCTGATGTCATTAATTCATTCTTTCCTTTCAACCATCTATCATCCTTATCTTTCCTACTTCCATGGATGCCAATCGGTACATAAAAAGCATTACTGATTGATACGTTATTGAGGGTCTGAATATAGCAATCAGTCTGTATCAGAAAATACATATTTTTTCTGTTTTCTAATAAAGTGAGTGTCATACATACCTAGCCAGGTTGAAGAAAAATCATAAAGTTGCACAACTGGATTTGCGAAAAATTTTATTATCTCATCTTATGAGAACAAAGCCTTTGTGGGTTTTTTTTTAGTCCGTTGGATGTTTTGGAAGGTGTCATTATAATATGTGTCATGACGCTGGGAAATCAGACGTTTGTCACTTTTTGGGCATATGGAGTTAACAGCATCCTCATGTTGTTGTTATCGATCCAGTACAGCATCCTCATGTTGTTGTTATCGATCCAGTACAGCATCCTCATGTTGTTGTTATCGATCCAGTACAGCATCCTCATGTTGTTGTTATCGATCCAGTACAGCATCCTCATGTTGTTGTTATCAATCCAGTACAGCATCCTCATAAAGCTTGCCTATTTGTCTTGGTTTTGGTGAAATCAATACCCATCTTGAATAGAGGTAAAGATATATTTGCGATTGAAGGAGGGGGGGGGGTCCTCTGGTGTCAGAGGTGAAGTACATGTGACCAATATCACTGATTAATATACTGCAATAAAAACATTTTTCAAAATTATTGACTTAGAACATCTGTACAGCTTGTCTACAATTTCAAAGGTAAAGCAAGTGACAAAATGGCTGCTGACAGTTGGTGATTTTCAAAGCTGTGGCGTCTTTGCTGTAAAATCCACACAGAAATAAGTTTTTAGATGGACGTAACAAAACAAAAAATCAATAAGAAATGTTCAACGGGCGGAAGAGCAGTAAATGTTTCACCCGTCTAAACCCGGGAAGCAAGATTTCTCTGGCGAAAACTGCCTGATAACAGGCTATTTATTTACGTGCATTACACCATGTAAGATTAATCCTTAAAGGATGGTTGGTTGGCGAGTGCTCTGGTGTTGTTTGCTCCTTCTTTCCTATCAAACATCTGTTGTCCTTATCTTCCCTCCTTTTTTGTGTATGTTACTCTCTGGTAACACTTTTCATCTTTGGCACTTCTTATATGACCTTATTATGTTGCAAGTGCTGTAAAACTCTTACTAAAACTAAAACAATCCTTAAAGGGTTTATTAAACTAACATAAGTGCACCAATGTTAACTGCAATTGTAAGTAAACTCTTTCTTTCATCCCCTTTTCTCTTTTTGTCTCCCTCTCGCGATCAGGTACTGCCCACTGTGCCAACATGTACCCACCTACAGCTCAAGATTTACCTGCACTGGTTGCTGCTCGGACAGAGATTGAGACCAGCATTGGACAGTGGTTGGCGGATTAGACAGAGCAGCTCAAACAGTCAGTTAATTTGTAAGCAAATCAGAGTTTTATTACAGGAATGAATGAAAAAAAAACAGTATTCAATTAAATAAATTCCACTTAATTGATTCTGCAGGGAAATCTGTTTTACATATAAATGTAGATAAGTACAAAAACACATTACTACATAAACGCATGAATGACACACAATATCACAAACGTAGACAGTCCACACACCATAGCTGTTTGCCACTGTGCTGTGCCGTTTTTTAAGCTAGGGTCATGGTGTCTTGCTCAAGGACACACCTCAGTGATTGACCACCTAAACACTGTGTTACCAACATAGGCTTGACATTAACTGCTCAGGCACTGAAACCCATTCAAAGCTGCAGACACGCACGTATATGTTATTATAACTTTTAAGAATTTTACCAACTTTATGTTTCTTTTCTTTTTTTCAATATTTAAATTTTGAGTTTCAACGAATTATTTCTCGAGCACTTGTGATGAATACTACTGATTAAGAAACTGCAATAAAAACATTTTAAAGATGTTTTTGGCTCAGAACATCTGAACAGCTTGCTAACAATTTGAATTTGTTTATGGTGGTTTCAATGTACTACTCTGAGTTAAACATGATGATTCAAAAGAGGTAAATGTTTGTGTGTGCACTTGCCAAGATAGTCAAGGAATGTTGGAAATGATTGTTAGAAGTCTCAGATTGTGTGTCTGCATTGTTTATGCATAGTGTAGTTTAGTGGTGCATGTATCAGATTCATGTTGATTTTGTGGGAAGTAAGTGGACACTCTAGTGTGATTTGTTTCTTTTTTCCTATCAAACATTTATTATCCTCATCTTTTCTCCCTCTTTTTCTTTGTTTGTTACTCTTTAGTTACCACTCTAATCATCGGCACTTATATGACCTATTTCTGTTACAAGTGTAGTAAAAAGTTAACTACAGTCTCTTTTAAAAGGGGTATAGCGGACGTATTACGTCCAATCTGTATCAGATCAAAGATAATTTTACAATATTATAATGTATTGAAACACCATACACAAATCTTTATCCCTCCTTCTTTTCTTTGCATGTTACTCTCTAGTAAAATGCTTATTCTTCAACACTTCTATATCCTATTTGTGTTGCAAGTGTGGTAAAACGCTTACTAAAACTAAAACACTCTATTAACCAACACTCACAATTAACCATAGAACATAACAATAATTTTATGATGTTTGTAGCTGCAGTTGTTTCAAAGGATTTTGTTGAATTACCTTGTTTTGAAGAATTCTTCAAATGTTTGTACGGTACGGATGAACATTGTTTTGTTCGTATGTTTGTTTTTCTCTGTGCCAAATGTTCTGTTTTTCATGTTATAAATCTTGAAACTGCCCTCCTGTTACAGTGACTGGCTGTTAAGAACTTTAATTGTAGGCACAGAGGTGAGGGGTTTATCCTTGAGTGAGTAAGTGTTGAAATTGTAGTTTGAATGCAAGAGTCTGTCGTCTTTTACAGGCTGAGGACTAAGCAGAACAGCTTCCTCTTGACAGCTGCTGTGTGTGATAAATATATATTATAATTTTTCACTGCTCTTATCCAATTTTGCTATGACTATCTGGATTATTTGATCAAGGATACTGTAAGTCTCATGAAGATGACCAGATTGACCATTCCTTCTTCAGCTGAAAGTATTTTTCTAGGCAATGTAACTGTGTTTCTATTTTGGACAGATTTACACTATGTTATATGCTTCCCGTTTGTCCATTGTAGAACTTGAATAGAATTTGAAAGAACAAGGGGGTTTTTTTGGTTCTTTTTTGTTTTTTGTTTTCACATGGATACATCTGTTGGGGATGTGCCATAAGTCAAGCTTTTTGGCTTGTCCATTATAATTTGTAAATTATCACCGTGAATGCTGTTTAGTAGTTACATAGATTTATACTTTTAAAAACTATAATTGCGTTTATATACGTTTGTCTTTGCTCTGTAGCATGCCATATGCGCTTTGCAACTTAATCGTCCCAGTACACCTCAGAATACCCTGAAACATTCTTCGGAGAGAACAGCCACCTAAGTGCTCAAACCAACAAACTGACAAGATCTTTCACCGTCTGGATACCCATTCCCACCTGTGTAAAGTTTGAACCCATCATCTTTCTCTACAAGCCCAACAGCCTAATCCCTAGACCATCTGTATTTTTGTTTGTGCTGCGTGATTGTGGCTGAAAGTCAGTTTAATAAATGAGTGTGTGTTTTACATTTGAATGAAGCGCATCCATGCTCATTCATAGACTGCATTTATTCTGCTAGAAGAAATACAAGGTTCCGGCACATTGTCTTTAAACATTAACATTTTGTTGTTTTTTTCAGTCGTAATTATTTAGTTTTAAAAATTTAATTCATGTTGGTTTTTTTCATAATAAATTTCCTGGTCTTTGAAAGAAAGCCTTTGTTTAGTCAGTGTTTGAGAAAGTAAAGGTGTCTTGTGTTGTAGGTGTGTGGGAAAGAAAATCTGAGTTTTATGGGTTACTGGATTTTTAAAAATGACAGTGGTGTAACAATTAAGCCCATCGCAGTTGAAAGCAAAAGGCACCAGTACAATTTTCATACCAGGAGTTTTTTTTTTTTTTTATCGAACATCTTCACTCCGTCTGTCTGCTGGGACAGTTTATGTATCCTTGTCAGATCTGACTGGCCAAATTGTGCCGGTGGGTAGAGACTTTCAAGACATTAGCTATTAAATTTAGATAGGCGTGAGGTTGATAAAAATAGAAAAATGTACGAGTTTTTTTTTATATCTTTAACGAAACCTCCTAAATTTTTCACCCTTTTCGGAGAAGGCTGGGTGTAGATCTTCCCTACCAAAAGATCAGTGGTGTAGCTGAGAGACAGCAATAAGAAGGAGCCAGGGAACAGCAGAAAGAGTCAGGAGCCGAGAGGAGGGGGCAAAGGAGGTGAGGGGTTGGGAACAAAAAGTGGAGGCGAAAAGCAGACCACAGAACATTGCTAGAGAGCTGTTAGCAGGAAAGGAGGTGAAAGGAGACTATTATAAAGACGAGAATTTTCCGGATTCGAACCCAGGACCTATTGAATGAAAGGCGAACACCATAGTCTCTTGGCCACGAGGGCCCCCAAATTCCCGTTTACGTTTTGCGATAGTGATTTGTGTGTACGGAGCCCCTTAAAACAAAAAAGAGAGGGATATAGAAGGGCGATAATCTAAATTTATTTCATTATATCAACAATTTGATTGGTTTAACTACCCTGGATTCTAGCGCGAGAGAAAAATCAAGTGGGCTAACCCATATTTCGGGGGTTTCCAGAAATCTTTACCTACACCAAAAGTGGGCATTACCCTACCTGTAGGAGAAGTTTGGTTTCGTTGGTGCGTATATTTTTTGGTTATAGGGAAAATTCTCTTTGTCTTTTAAAGAAACTGAACAAGGGGCAAAAACTTACCGTCGATTTTCTCAAAACAGCATTTTTTCGGGATATACCCCTTGTGCTTAAAGGCGACTTATTTACAAGATCCTTTTAGCAGTCTATAGCCGGGAACCTGCATTCACATATTATATAGGTGAAAGGAGACAACGTTTGGATCTGACGTTCCAATCCTCGATCTTACAACTCACGATTATCGTTTCGAGTCCGGTAGCCTAACCACTAGAATACTGACACCAGAACAAAATGTCATTTCAGTCAAACGCAACCTTGTGCAGTCTCCCTGACATGTCCCTACTTTAGAATTGCAAAGTTCTATCTGATATTTCGGGCCCTTTTGAGTGACTATGACCACGAGGTGGTCAGAAACCGGATGTTCTATTTGCTCCATAAAAATTGTAAGATTATTCATTGTGGTTATCAAGATGTTAAAAAAAATTCATTCGAAAAAGCTTCATATGTTGGGAAACCTTAAAAATTTTAATGTCAAATTTCTGAGAACCATGTACTGAGTAGAAAGAACTTTCTATTTCTTGTGACTTACGCCCTCCTGTCCTATAGGCTAATTTTCTTACCTCATTTGGAAAAAAACGATACCCACCCCCCTAAAAAAAACAACCAAAAAACAAAAAAGGGCAATGTTAATATATTTTAAAAAAGGTAGAGCAGGGGTTGGGAGGGACGGAGGGATATGATATACAGTATGGTAAAGCTGTCGTTAACAAATTAGACGACATTCATTTAGCGTTAGGGTAATGCAAACGAAACTACATGCATACCATTTAAAAGCCAAAAGAGTTGTCCTTAACGAGCCGATTCTCTGCTTCAGTATCCCGTATTTGCCGTGTTTTAGTTTTATTTTTCTTAATCTCGTTTTTGATTTGTTTTTGAAACGCTCACGTTATGAAAACAGATTTATCAATAAAAGCCCTTGCAGATTCTCATAAAACTGAAGTGTAGTTACGGGGGAAAACCCGTAAAGATAACAGAAGATGATATATAGATGTATAGACTGACAAACATACAAACAGACAGATACGCTCGTAGATACAGATTAATAGATATAGATCTAGTTCTAGATAGATGATGTCCTTGCCAAACAAGACAAGCATACACACGAGTTAACCCACAAGCCCAGAAAGACTAAACTTAAAATCATTTGTTTAAAGCAAAAGAGAAATTCGATGCAACATCCTAGAAAGAATACGTAGATACTCGATTTTAAAAAACCCAAAAAGAACAAAACAAAACGCAAAACAAAACTACACGAAAATCGAGTTGTTGTCACCTGAGTGCAACGGCGAAGTTATTATTCACTCGCTTCAATAAAGATCACAGACCTCGCTAAACACGGAGAGTGGAGTGACCTGTCATTGAGGAGAAGGAGAGTATTGTATTATTCATATAAAAAATTGCCTTTCTCACCCTGGGTCAGGCTATATATAGGCTAACTAACACACACTTTCCACTTTTCCCTATACTGGGCTGGCCTCTACATGTTATTCCATGTCTTCTCACTTTTCTGTATATCGATTTCTATGACTCGTCTCTAGGATCCACGTGTTCTTACTCCCCCTTGGTCTCTTACCATGTGCTGTGTGTTCCAATTCAACACTTGTGATGCAGCTGCGTGACTTCCTGAGAGTACATTGTATATTATCCAATCCATCGCCATTGCCTTCTTCCCACCTCATCTCTGATTGGGCCCTGCCTTGTTCTCTCGTATTGTATTAGATCTACTATAACTCTTATTTTCTCAGATTTTCTTGCTGATTCAAAGCTGATTGTCCATGTCATAATATTTTAAAAATGTATGGGCATGAACGAAAAGTAAGAAAAAAAAAACCTTTCATATTATCATGTACCAAAACCGCTCTATATTGTCAGGCCTATCACTCAGATTCAGTGACTTGTTGAGGTGTTCACCTGTTGTACAGGCAGAGTGACCCACATGACGGTGGTCATTGTCAAAGCGGACTGGAGGGTAACACCAAAAGAAAGTGCCGCTCTACAATGAATTCTTTTTATTAAAATGCGCTGAATCTTATCGGTACACTCATTTTCTATACAAATTTTCGGTGACATTCCACCTGTATGCAAAACAATGTATTTGAATACAACTGCCCTCACACAGTGGTAATTCGTGGCAGTTGTAAACAGAATTTACATCACTGGGAGACGGGAGCTTCAGTGCTGACATATTATTATCAGAGAGCAGAGGTGGACAACCAGTTTTGTGACAAGTATTTCTTTAACAAACTTAACGAAATTGCAGACAGAATACAGGCAAAGTCTATTTTGAATCGCATTTTCAAAACCTTGTAGGACTTTATTACATAAGGAGTACCAGAGAAAATGTGAAGAGTCATATCACAAAGCACTGTCCCCGCTGTTTTATGCCCAAAAAATATGGAATTATGCAAACTGACCCAAAAAATGTGAAATTACGCGATCCTGTTAATTTCAACAAAGAATGGGAAATAATATGAAATTATGCAAAAAATGATCAAATTTTGCGAAATTATGCGGTGTGTATAAAAAAACCACGGGAACAGAATACACTGAAAAGGCGACGTCAGAGAAAGATTTTAAAAAAGAGCAGCATGTATCTCAAAACGAGCAATGTGATACATGCGTTTAGCACCCGGAAGGAGACGTGTGTCAAGGGGAAGGGGGGGGGGGTGATAAATGGCATGTTAAAGACAACAACAACATTGTAATCGAGAAGAAGGCAGGGGAGGAACCGAAAAAGAAACCTGCACAAAACCTAGTGGAAGGGACCAGATTGTCTTATAATGTGCATTGACTTGGAAGCTGATTTGTTAGCGCAGGCGTTGAAAACATCTGCTGCACTATTATTATCATTACAGTACAGGGCCAAATTAACTTTCATTTACTTTTTTTCTTCTCTTTGGACACCAAAGAATAAAAGATGTAAAGTAATACTTTTGGCACGACGGTGAAGGACCATGCATTGATTGACAATGAATTATCTTCTTGTATCAGAAGCTTCCTGGAAGAGATAATTGACAATACTTATTATGCCACATTCATTATACCCCGATACAGTGATCGCTGTACTTATCAGCACCACAACGCTTTCTTTTCAATTAATGTAATCAGCGACATTGTCTCGCTATCTCAAAACTACAAAGTTTTATCTGACATTTTTGGTCGCTTTGAGTTACTACAAACCATGAGGTCAGAAACAAATAATTGTTCTTTCTGCTCTTTCAAAATAGTGAGATTATTCGGAATCGTTATCGAGGTATTACGTTCAATAAATTGCATTCGGAAAAGCTTTACATGTTGTGATACTCAAACTTTTTAAGGTCAAATTTCTCAAAACTAGGTACTGAGAAAATAGAAATGTGTAATTCTAAGGTAACGATTTGTACCAGATAAAACAAAATTGTTGAACACAAATTACCTTGCAAAAGGACACACGCAAATGGAAGCGGGCAGCACACACGGTGTAATTGAAAGGTCCCTAAAAAAAAATGAAATCATCTGGTTTAGGCGCTCATGGACAATTTTGAAAGTTTTCAGAAGGCAAGTCAATACCCCCCTCCAAACTAATGTTCGATTTCTGAACCATTCAGACCTGGCTGAAGCAAAGTCGACCCCATTCAAACTTTCGTTGCCTTCGATACACATTGAACAGATGAATTGTCGTTTTTACCAATTCCACGGGGCCAAAAACAATTCTACCACAGAGAACCCAACCTCGATGCGTTTGGATCGCCTGAAAATTCAGCTATCAAGATATAAACAACTTTAGGAACTCAAAACCGTGATTCCAACAAAAAAAAAAATTCCTTCTATGACAATCAAAGACACTAGGAATCAATGAATCAAGATAATTTATTATGTTAACCAAAAAAAACAAACCATTTCCATTCATGTTTTAGTTTTAGTAAGTGTTTTACAGCACTTGCAACACAATAAGGTCATTATTAAATATAATTGGATATTTTCTTCTTCTACGGTCAGTTTTTAAGGGG